TAAGTAAAAGCCATTAATTTCGACAATTGACAAAAAACAACCGAAACCCACATACATATATAATATTATTTTTTTCAAATCTGACATATATAATTGAATAATTTTATTTTCACATTTTCAAAACATATGTTAAAAATGAGAAAATCAAATATATTGCATCCTTAAGTTGTCCGTGTTTTTAATCGTTTAGCATTGCTTCCTGACAACAAAAAATTATTAATACTATATATCTGATAAAATTAATAGAATAAATAGTTAAAACATTATTAATGCTTTGTGAATGACTAAGAATGTTTAATTACTAAGTGTTTTCATAGCGTTGGCAAATAATGAACCTTTTGTTTTCCCATTAATGATTATCAAGAACCAAGAGTTTCTAAAACTGTAGAAAATTAGTCTGCTAAGAATAAAAATCTCGAAATATCGTGACATAGCAAGTAACGTTAACGCTGGAACAATTTCTGTATTAGGGGTGTTGAAAACCACTGAACAAAATCGAAACCCCTTATATATAATAGGAACCATATCAAGGCAGGGGGTGTTACCTCGCCTTCAGCACCCCTAGTTCATATGCCCTTGGTAGGTATTATGTTTTTATATACGTCTCATCTTTGGAATTAACAGGAAGCACAAGTAATTTTTCTAATGTTATGAAAGTCTTAAATTTTCTTTGCTTTCCACTGCTGGATTTGAGGTTGTATAACTATAACAAGTATGAAGTGATAAACCTTCTCAAACTTTAAGTTTTAAGAATACTTTGCAGGTAGGCACACAAGTGACATATGGACACTTAGATCTTGAGGTATTGTTAGCAACATGTCGAAAACAAATAACAATATGTGTCTGAAGTTTCTAATAACAAGAAAGTTCGTAACCATCCAAATAAAGGAAAATTAAATAGAAACATGCATGCTTGCTTTTATGAGATAATTATTTTCGAAAACAAAGCTGGCCAATATTTACTTTCGGACAGACGCAGCAGCGTTTTTGCTGCTATTTAGTTTAGTGCCTACAGATTAATTTCAATAGATTTAGCAGATGAATGTGTCTTGTCAGAGAACGCTGTAGATAAAATATGACTAATGCAGCATTCTGTTCTCAAGAATCTAAACTCATAACTCTGGTTTATGTTAGAACTTAAGAAAGAAAATATTCGTCTGCTTGGTGATCAGTGGAGTGAGTAAACATTTTAGAAAGGACGTTAGTCGTTATCTACAATCCTTTACGGGAATGGGTCTTAAGCAACGACAGCTCGTACAGAAACACAAGAGCTTGTTTGAACCTTGCTACATAAACTGCGTATGCAAGAGCTTGCGAATTTTCACAACTTCGTAGTGAACTGTGAGCTTGAGTATAAATTTCCTGTTCATATTTAACGACATGAAACACGTCCTTTGAATACCAACGTTGAGCTCAAGTACAAGTTACTGAATTTATTTTCTGTCAACCTGTCTTTAGCTCAGTGCAGAGCTATACGACTTCTTGACCAGAAAGTGCCTTTACGTTTCATACTGAGGGTGAAACCAAAATATGGAAGAACTGTCGAGGTTACCTTAGAATCACAAATTATTGGATAACATGAAACACGATAGTAACCAACATTAATAAAAATTATATAAAGATAAGCCAGATTCAACTTTACTGCTGAGTGATTAAATTTTGAAGCTAATAAAATAACGATTTCGATTAGACAGAGCTTACAACGAATCATACGTGAAAATGTTTACGTATATTGTCTATCATATTGATAACAATTATATGGGTCTTAATCATACAGTAACTAATAAAAGAAATATATATCGAGTACTCGTGGACTAAAATGAATTGAAATAACTCGATCAAAATATATTTTTTAAGGCAAACATTAAGAATCACTGGGAATTTTGTTAAGAAACTAATTTTCCAAAATGAAGGATGAATAGTAAAAGCGATCTTTTCCAGTGCTTAATTTTTTAATACAGGCCTTTACCCTTAAACTAAGAAATCAAGTGTTTTGCCCCAAGTTTGAACGTCTTTTAATAAATAACTATAACATTACATAGCTCTTACGCTCATAATTGGACAAGAGTATCCCCTAACAGATGACAAATTTGCTTGCTCATTGTATGATGACTAGGGCACTCATCGCGACCTCTAGTGGCTACATATATATTTACAAAACAATGGTTATAATTACAAATATTTTTAAAAAACAAAAGTTTCTCTGAACGAAATACTATTGTAGTAGTTATTATAAAGAAATAGTATAGACTGTAAAAAAATGATAACCTGCTTATTAAATATAAACCAATAAACTCAGGGATTATAACTATGAAAATAAATTAAATACGTGCCTTTTTTCTTTAGCACAGCACACGAAAGTTTCAATATAACTAAAACACATCTGAAAATTTCCATAAATATCACTCTGTTTGGCGGTAAAATTGGGTTACAGTAAAAATTATTTTCGCAGTAAAGATTGCTGAAGTCCAAGGCACAACTCTAAAAATACAACGATCTATTCTGAAGTTTTTCGTTTTCTTAATTACATGGAGATATCTTAAATATGTTCTTTGTTTAGAAGTTGATAAACTAGCATAAAGACAACTTTCCCAAAAACGTAATCATTCTAACTGTTCTAAGAAATTTGGTGTTTTGAAATATGTCGGGACATTATCGTCGAGACGAGCTATGACTTTGTAAATAGTCCTTCTTCCAGGATTGTTCCTGATCTTTTCCTGCTATAATTTCTTTGAAGAATTCTTTTAAAGTCTGCTCAACAACAAAACGGAAATGTTCGGGAACCTAAAAAAAGCCAAGAAAAAAATCAGGATTATGTTATGAGTTGACTTATCTTTGTAAAAATTTATGATGAGAAACATTTAAACTATAATGACTGGTTTAAGAATTCAATCTTGTTTGGAGAGCTCGATATTATTATCGTGTGTGTATGTATACTGAGTCTGTCACACATATACTGTTGTGGATAAAAATGCACCACTATCAGTTATGCCAAAATTTTCCTCTTAACATACCTCAATGTGGTTATTTCGATTGTAATGGAGATTAAGGGTCCTGATCAGTTCAGAATCAATAGTGACCTTCAGGTCCTCTGGACTTTTGATGCCTTCACTAATAGCTTGTCTAGAATACTTCTCCATCTGGATGTAATAAAACTCTCTAAAGCGGAAAGGAATATGAAAACAAATAAGTTATCCGAGAAAAAAAGGATCAACAACCAGTTTAAATATATTTAAAACAAATATTTTTTTCCCCGTAACAGAGAGTTTTTAATATTTCAGTTAAGTAGAACCCAATATTAAAAAACGAGTTCTTCAGAAATATTGTAGAAATAAAACTTATTTTACTCCATATGTTTATTTAATAATTGTTATAAAATAGAATATAGTTAAGACCTTATTGTAAACTCAGTACTCTAACAGAGTTCACTTAAATTTAAATGCATTCTATGTTTTTTATACTGCTTGCCTTCAACCAGTAGAAATTGGTAGTTCGTCCACATTTATACTCTACTACTTAAACGATCAAATGTATAGTTTTAAACCCTGGTTTGGGCTAATGAACTTTGTTTTGCCAAAATATTAGTACTATAGATCTATTAAACAAGCAGCGTGTATCAGCATGTTACCAAAATCCAAAAAAATATAACGCCATGTAGAATTATAAACGGACTTTCCTCTAAGTTAAAATACTTTCATTGCGAGCTTTCGTCCCTCTTACCGGAGCCTTAATCGGGCAACAATTCAGTGAGTGAAAAATTCGTTAAACTGTGGATTGTTTGTTTGTTTTTGAATTTCGCGCAAATCTACACGAGAGCTATCTGCGCTAGCCGTCCCTAATTTAGAGGGAAGGCAGCTAGCCATCACCACCCACCGCCAACTCTTGGGCTACTCTTTTACCAACGAATAGTGGGATTGACTGTCACTTATAACGCCCCCACGGCTGAAAGGACGAGCATGTTTGGTGTGACGGGGATTCGAAACCGCGACCTTCAGATTGCGAGTCGAGCGCCCTAACCACCTGGCCATGCCGGGCCTAAAATGTGGAACACTGCTTTAAAATATGTAAGAATTATGATATAGAATCATATATTATCATATAGAATTATGATGAATATAGAATATAAATCGATTTCTTCGATATAATAAACATAAGGAAAACACAGTTATAGGTAATATATAGACAAATAGAAATAAATAGATACATAAAACAAAGAAATTTTGAAACTTCAAATAATACATTGTAAAATTAAAGGTTTAATTTTACATCAAAACCACGACAAATAATATGTTTTATGTCTTTTGTTAGTGGTGTCCATGCAGTATTGAGTTGTTGTTGGCCGTTGTTTTGATTAATACCCACTGGTGGTCCACTGTCTTCTGTTTGGATGGCAGTAGCTTCCTTCATTTTTCTACGTTTGGTGTTTTCTTCCCTGTTTATTATTTCGATATTTTTAGGTCTGTTATATGGTTGTTTTCCTGAACGTGAAAAGCTATAGCTGACGTGTTTATAACACAGTTCTTAATATCTCTATACATAAGTCATTTATTACACCTAAAGCTATCTAAAGCTAGGAAAAGAGAACAGGATAAACAGTAATTACGATGGCACCCGAGATTAGGGATTGCAAAGTCAGCCTTGTTATCAGTGTTGCAATGAGAGTGTCAGTTCTCTGTCTTGTAAAGAAGGTATAATTACGAGTGAAAATGAATACACACAGTTTGTATATATATAATATTTATACATGAATATTCCTTACGCAATTAATGAAGCCACCATTCCATGCCAACTACATAAAATCTTCTTTTAAGCCTTATATTATATAATTTGATGATTATGTTTATTTAGGAAGTTTCCTGCTATCTCTGTCTGATAACTAAAATTATTTCAGGAAAAGCTATGTTAGGAAGCAGTGAAGTTACGAAACCACTTCAAGGTTTAAAGTATTTTTCAGTTTTGCTTTATAAATATTTAGCACATGGAGAACAATTGATGAAATGTTTATGGAAAACATGTTCCAGGTGGATATTTAGGATGTGTACTAGGGTTTGTCAAGGATTAGATCATTACGTTTTTGCTCTGCTAGATGATGAGAATAAGTATTTCATGCTTAAAAAAAGATTATATGGTAAATAATGAGACAATAAAGACAAATAAACTAAACAGAAACGGTTAAACGGAAATGTACCACGTACCGACAGGAGTAGTGCAAAATAATGTTGTATGGAGATGCATATTGTTTGACAGTAAAAGGATTGCTAGATAAAGAAGAGAATCTGATAGTAACTGCTTTATGAAAATAAGAAGTATGCAACTAACGTAGAAACTTATCTTTGATGGCCAGAAGTCTTGTGTAAATAAGTAGGAAGTGCAATTCAGAATCGTCATTTTGTTGGGCTTGTAATTAAATGATAAGTGAAACCTAAAGCAAATAACATATATTCATATTCTAAGGTGGTTGGATGTAAGATTTATTACTGTAAATGATGCTAGATAAACTCCAACCTATGAGTGTTCCTCCGATTCTGCGTAAATACAAAAATTATTTGATTAATTGAAATAAGATTATCAGAAATCTCTATTCAATAATGATAGTGTTTCTATAAGAGTGATAACCATGTTTTGAGAAAAGAAAAACAAACCGTGACTATCTCTGCTACCGTTAAGTTGGATTCGAAATGTTGTGCAGTAATTTCATTTATAAAAAGAGCGTTGAAAGCAGTTTTAGTTTTTTTTTTCTTCTTTTTCATCAAATCAGAAATCTGTTTAGACAAAATTAACTTACTCTCAAAATCGATATCAGGCAAGTTTAACAATACGCTTAAAAGGTACAGCGTTATGCTGTCTAGAAATATTTTTAGAATATATATTCAAGTGTCTGTGAAAAATAATAGATTGAATTTTGGAAGGTTTTAAAAAGACATTCCTTTTTGAGAAAGCACGATGGAATAATTTTATTAGAAGTGGCCTAAATACACTGTGTTATGTTTTAACAGGTTCGACCGTTTTAAGAGCCAGTTTATCCCTGATTGGATGTTGATAGCTTGATTGTGAGTGGCTGATTACGAAACAGTTGTATTAATAATTTGCTGATTTTTGTGCCTAAGTTTTTATTAAAATATTTCACTCCCCGCGAAACACAATGCTATATCTTCCTATCGTAATTAGTTGATCTTCTCAAAAAAATATGTTTGCATTTTAAAGTAATGCTTTATAGGGGCTTGCAATGAAATAAGAGATAGTTGATTCAGAACAATTAGAAAAATTCAAGTATAATTTCAGTTTCAGGGTACATTTTTATTATCAGGACTATAAGGTCAGTTATGAGTTTGTTTCTTAATGCCAAAAAGCTTAATTACAAAAATTCGATTTAAACGTTGATTGTTGTTGTCTTGTAAAAAAGATTAAACTCACAAGATGTTTGATTAATCATTTATGCACCACACGTGAGTTTACTTTATTTAAGAATTTAACCGAATGGTTACAGTCCAAGATATTGATTAAAAATTCGCCCATTTTTATGTACAACATGATGAAAAGAAAACTATAATTAGAGAAACGTTAGATATATTCTCTTGTTCGCACGCTGTAAGTGCAACCATATGTTTACACAGGTTAACAAACAGGCTTTATGAAAAGTAAACAAGTAGCTTTTAAAAAGAAAACGACTGTAATCATCTCTATTAGTGTACGATAAGGCTGACATGAAACCTTTTGACGCTAATTTATCTTACAACAGTAACTTAATTTTTAACCTGTTGTTTAATTTATTTCCAATTTCACTACGATGCTTATTTATGAAAAAAAAAAACGCACACACACACTAGTTTACGATACATTTGATGTCAGATAAATACGGAAAATAATTAGAAATAACACTATTATTCAGTTACATACGTAGATTATAAGTACAAATAATTCTTAGATACATTACGACTGTAATAGTCTTTTGATCTCTCTACAATTCCGATGTTTCATTACAAGTCATTACATTTTCGATTCGTTTCTTTACAGTATGTTTTCTAAATACATATATAATACACAAAAACGTATATGTTGTGATATATTATTCAGACATAGTTAATTTATAGATCGTTACATAAGAAAAACACACTAACAGTTATTTTGTAAATAAATGTCGCAGTCTGTGTTCCAAATAAGAGTAAAACAAAAATAACTTGTCAGTTTCAGTAAATCCGTTATGAAAACGTAAAAACTGAATATCTTTCTTTTATTTACTATAAAAAATACATACAACTTTATGGAGTACATTATGCCACTTTGGTCAAATCCAAAACCTTTTTAAAGAAACAACGCCATATTTAGGGTTTTCCATACGTTTCAAATTATAGCATGAACGTTCAACCATCCGAAGAATAAGTTCTGAAATATTTTAAATAATTTTCAAATTATACTTCTCACACTGAGATTTAAAGTGATTTTTAGACGCTTATTCCAACATCCATACTTTGATAGTCTCAGTACGCAAAAATATGAACAATACAACGTTTTTACTCTGAATGTGTCTGTAGATTTCATGATAACAACAATCAACCTTGTGAAAACAAATTCGTAAAATGTAGATGATAGGAGAAAGTTTATGTGCTGTTTCGTGAGGAATATGTTTTTAGTGTTTCATCAGTTTGTTGTCGACGAACATTCATGAATATATAAAATAATACAGCAGTCCATGTAACTTGTCTTCATTTTTCTTTCTATTTAGCTATTGTAACGTTTAGCCAATGTAAAGTAACAAGAAAGGGAGCACGTGTTTAATCCGTCTACTGGAGCGTTTTCCAAGTTTTATGTCATCCGTCTGTCCTCTCACCTGACAAATATAAGTCGCCCTAGATATGGCCCATAGACGCTTGTTTGTCTGCAGTAGGTATATCTTTACGCTCGAACGGCTGTTACAGAAAATACATTCGTTCAAACTAGATCAGACTCTCGCTCATTAAGATTAAAACTCCCACTAGATTAAAAAAGCTTGTGGTTGCAACATACAGAAAAGATCGGACTGAGTATTAATAACGGATGGCATAAATGTCTTATCAAGTGTTAAATACGCTAGAGGGTAACTATCGACAGATGAATGGTCTCAGAGGAATAACAACAAAATAGGACGAGGGAAGAACAGGGTGGTTTTTCTCTTTCTTACGTTCGATATTTTGCAACTTGGGAGTGTAGAAGAGAAAGTGAAATTAGTCCATTCATTATCGTCAAATTTCTTTTCATCTGATGGAGGGAGTCACAAGTTGAGTTAGATGGAATTGATACATTTAATTTAGTTAAATAAGATTTAAACATTCTTCATGTTCAATGTCTCTACAAAGAAGGTTCCAAAGTAGTTTTAGAGATGGCGAAATATTTTTAGTACACTGAATAAAGATTTAACTTTCAACTCAATAAATAATCTTTATCCGCATTCTCGTAGAAACCTGTTTGGACGGATCTTATGTTGCAACAAACTGAAACTCATTGTTACTATTACTAGAAGTTAGAAAAACTTGAAACGTGGAAAACTTTCTTTAAGTCATTCAGCATTATTCAAAATGACGTACTTCAGCTGTACTAATCAAATGTTCTATTACAAGAATCGGACAGTAAAGACTCATTTTATATATCATACATTTTGTTTTGTTCTTCAGCGTTTTTGCTAAGGCTTGTTTTATATTATAAATATGTTTTATTTCATAGGTTTGGTCTCGCTGTTTGTAAAGCAATCCTTCTGTTATGATGTAAATATTAATTCAACTGCTTAGATAATGTTTATGTTTACAATATATATAGATTTATTGTACATACTTTTGGTTTGTTTGTTTGTTACGTATTTCGCGCAAAGCTACACGAGGGCTATCTGCGCTAGCCATCCATAATTTAGCAGTGTAAGACTAGAGGGAAGGCAGCTAGTTATCACCACCCACTGTTGGGCTACTCTTTTATCAACAAATAAACGCTAAAAGGGCGAGCATGTTTGGTGTGACGAGGATTCGAACCCGAGCAACCTAACCACCTGGCCATGCCGGGCCCATACTTTCGGTTTAGTGAAATAATACTTGAGATATTTAGATATTCTTCATGTTCAATGTGTTTACAAAGAAGGTTCCAAAGTGGTTCTAGAGATGACAAAATATTTTTAGTACACTGAATACAGATTTAAATTTTAGCTCAATAAATAATCTTTACCTGAATTCATAATGCATTAAGAACTTCCAATGCTATATTGTTACGACAGCGGAAGTCACGTGACTCTAGTAACACGTGATGAGTATCTAGAAGATTCACGAAGAGACGAGATGTACGCTTTTATAGTATATAAGCCGGCAAATAATGTGACGGCAAGGATATAGTTGCAGATAGAGAAATTGAAGATACAGACACGGATAATCGAGTCAAGGGGGCACCTTAAGTTAAGTGTGTGAATTATAACGTGTGTTGAAGTGAAAGTGACTGTGGAAATTCTGTGTATTGCAAAGTTGGATTGAGAAAGAATAAACTAGTGTTATTTAAGAAAGGACTTGTATCGCAGAAGTTTCTCGGAAAGAATTTCTACGAAAAATTAACAAACTAACACAGACGTAACAATATTTTATTTTGATTTTTGATAATTTTTTTGTTTGTTTGTAACGATATTCCCCATTCTGAGTCTCTTGTTCAATTATAGTTAGCTCAATAAGTAGTTTTTATTTTTAATTTTCTAAGGTATAAGTTATTAATCCAAAATTAGCTGGGTTTAATAACTTCTAGTGCTCATTAAGAGTTAAAGTAACGCTGGCTTTTTACAGCTGACGTTAAATAGCTAAAGAATAGTATACCGTTACTGCATGTTGTCAGGAGACTCTTTAGAGTTTATACCACGCGTAAAAAAACAAACAAACAACAACAACAACACGAAGCCGTGTTCTGAAATATGTGGATTCCTGTCAAGCAAACCACTGGAAGGCATTGAAAAGAAAACGTCCCATATTTTTTATTGATGTCATTTTCCAACGGTAGGTGGACTTCTAGGAACAAATCCATATTTTACCAGTGAGAGTATTCCTTAGTGGTTGGATGATAATACTAAAGCACTGTTCTATTTAACTCGATTATTGTTAACTAATTAGCTAAAACATTTATGTAGGCTTGGGAAAGTAGATGAGATAAAATAATAACTTCTTGTACTAAAATAATATGTAAAGATATTTAAAATAGTTTATTTGATTATTCAAGATTTCAGCATCCACTAAACATCTACCAGTCAAAATTAATATTAGATACTGGACTTACTTAGAATTTTGTAGCTCTGTTTAATTACGAGATAAAATAGGTTGATTCACACGTTTTATAATATTCAAAATTGTTCTTTTGTTTATAATGAAAAATGTTTTCATTAGACTTTTTAGCTTCAAATTTGTAGAGTGCTTTAACTCACATTAAAGTTTACACAAAATTGGCACTATTAGTTTAGTGAAGAATCATTTAATATATTTATAAATGTTATAGTTCTTTTTATTTCTTGTTATAGCACAATCTTATATAAACTTTATTATTTTCTACCCCTAGTGAGAAGAATGATATCTAACGCACCTGAAGTTAGAGAACCACTTGACGAGTTGAGCCGTGTTGTTCTTATTGAATTTGATGTCTGGAAAGTAGAGCTTCAAAACCGCAGAACTAGGATATCTCGCATAAAAGAACATCAATTTGGCTTTTCTTAGGTGCATGGGAGTAAGGGTACTGGTGTAAGACTAGATAAGGAAAATCAACTACTCAAACCAATACTTCCAATGTTCTCATAAAAAAACTTAATGTATTATTAAGTTAAACAAAAACGCCTTATTACTATGCACTAGACTGTTTTTCGATATAGTCTAATCAACTATTGCATTTATATATCTCTACACAGCTGCAGGTTATGTTAACAGAACCTTACTCTTTCATCATAACCATTGCATTTATACACAGCTGCAGGTTATGTTAACAGAACCTTACTCTTTCATCATAACCATTGCATTTATACACATCTGCAGGTTATGTTAACAGAACCTTACTCTTTCATCATAACCATTGCATTTATACACAGCTGCAGGTTATGTTAACGGAACCTTACTATTTCACCATAACCATTGCATTTATACACATCTGCAGGTTATGTTAACAGGACTTTACTCATTTATCATAACTATTGCATTTACATACAGCTGTAGATTGTGTTAATAGGACCTTACTCTTTCATAATATATGTATACATGCGTGTGTGAGTAAATAATTAAAAATTATGCGTTGCATATGTAATAACAGTTTGTATGATGACCCATACATATATATATATACATAGTGCACTTCATGTAATTATTTATAATGATATTATGAAATTATTGATTTAGAACAAAACACACACATCAGAGTTGTTTTGCACTGATGATTGTGGTGTTACTTCTAGCACATAATACACATTACGCAGTTCGTTACAATTGCTATTGTAATTTTGCTACAAACCTTGTTTCCGGCTTGAAAAAGAGCGTTTGCTCGAAACGTCGCCAATAAATTACTATCATAGATTAATTCTATCACTTTCATATTTTCTACTTATTTATTCTCTGATTTTTTACGCGACCTATTAAACATCATGTCTCTTTTTAAGAGAACTTGGGGGTCATTCAAGTTCCTGATGCCGAACCGTGTAAACGTTCCGTTCTGCTCTCCTAGACCAAGCGGGTAATTTTACCGCGGGAAGATCTCCCTGGTTATCTACGCCGAATGTTTCTCCCGTCATCATTGACGAGATTCCCAAGAACTACTCCATTAGCCGAATCAACTCCTTTCTACGACAATACAATCCAAATGCAGCCATGGATCCCACCAAGACAAGACTTCTTCGAAGGGGTGGATTTTTTATTCAACCCGTCGCACCCTCCGACTTAGATTACTTATGCTCTCCGTGAAACTCAACACAACCCGTCAACTGCAATCGCCCGAAATCTAACACAAACCTTTTTTCTCTTTTCCTTAGAGGCGTTGATCTGTCAATCTATCCTAACATCCACACTCACGAAGACATCAAACTAAGCCATCCACGCTGTCCACCGAATCTGTTCAAGAACCACAAGACTTCCTACCCACTTCATCCCTTCCAAAACCACGAATGACCACCTATTAACCCATGGTTTCATTTTCTATTTTTTTTTCTTTCCATTTTAGAGCTGAACGACCTAACCGAAGCCAGCTACACCTATCATTCCACTTTCAACCTCTCAACCGTTCCTAACAAACCAACAGAATTCATGAGCAGAAAGTTCTACAGCCATCCGCCGCCGTGAACCAACCAGACCAACCAGTTAAATTTACTCAAGCCACAACAGCCAGGAAAGATCCACGATAAGCACCTCAGACCATAGAGAAGTCCACCCAGACAACTCCAGCTAAAGAACATTCAGAGAAAACACCAGATGTCAAAGAAAGATCCACCCGAATACCACCAGCCAGGAAACAGGTTCAAAACACAGCCCAGACCCAAACACAACGGAGCATCATAACTAACTCTTCAATCTTCACGAACAACCTACAGATTTCCAGTCAACAATCCCAGACCCGAATTGCCAGGAAAGACAGAAAATTTAATTTTGTTCGACGATCTGGTCATGAAAGTGGGTTTTCTCGAGGCACTCCCGTTTTCTCCCACACCTAAATTATTATATTTTGGATTTATATATTACAGCTCTGAAATAGATTGTACGCTTAATTCAAGCTTAAACCAAAATTTAAAAATTTTCAAACTGAGCTTAAATTAAAATTAGTTTTCTAAATCTGATAAAAGACAAATCAAAATGTATAAACCATCTCAGTCATTTGACTTTGTTAAATAATCATTTCAGTCTGTAATAATTAATCAAGTTAAAGTTTATATCACAATGTCCCTTTAGCAAATTTTCAGCGTACTCTGTCTGCATATCTCTGCTTATCTCAACGACAAATCTCCTTGACCGACGTCATCACCACGTGTGTAAACAAGCAGACGTTTGTTGCACGTGCTCCAGCTTCAACTACGTTCTCGAGTCCAACAGACCAAGCATCAACCAATAGAAGCTCTCCTTCTCTCGTCTTCTTTCCGTATCTCCACAATCACAGCTTTTCCGACTATCTTCAGTAGCTCATTCAACATCATTATTCATAATTAACTACTCTTCATTAATACAGATCTCTTATAATCTAGCACCATTTAATCTTAATTCTCGTCAACATATCGCCGCTATCTGTAAAACCCATCTTGTCACTAAAAACATTAAATCTAATTCCACAAGCGGGGCGCAGAGAAACTAATGTTTGTGGGTGCCCCTGATTGTCTCTAAAACCCATTCATGGTTTGTTAGACTTGAACCAAAATATCTACCAAGTATTAATAGCAGTAGTAAGAGAACGTACAACAGCCTTCGTAATGAAATCATAAACTACCTTCATCACAATCCTACTCAACTGTTTCGTTATGGTCTCCTTCTCTTCAAGGCTACTTTATCTAAAACCAGTTACTGCAGCCACACGTCTTTTCTCCGTATTTGTTCATCTTTAAAGTTAACCCCTAGTGGTGTTAGACTTAAATTCAACTATCTCTCTCTTCATGATAAAACTATGATACAGAATAGACTGACGAAATGTTTTATTGGTTTAATGCGTGACACATTAAGGATATTTTGTTCCAAAAGAGAAACTTTTTCATTTGAACTGAGCAATCGGCGTCGTCAATTGTACGAATATACTGATCGAACTATTGTACATAACATTCAGAATAAAGCCAGTAAATTGAATTCTTTATATTACTGCTCAATGAATAATTTAAAATGCAAGAAACTC